TTGAATACTAAGCTAACGGATATCTACTTACTGGCGTTTAATTCAAAAAAATTTGATTTTTGAGAGTAATTATTACAGCCAGTTTAAGTTTTCATATATTAAATTCATATGATTTTTTGAGTTTTTTATGATTCTAGAAATTACATCGTTTAAAATTTAAAAATTCAGTTTTACTTAAAAGCATTGCAAAGCAGTGTTTATCTAATGGTATTAAGTTAAAATTAATTTGGTTAACGCAAGTAATTATTATGACCAGTTTCAAATTTTAAAAAAGTTCTCATATTATTTCTATATGATTTTTTTGCATTTACATTTATGATTTTATAAATTACATTTTTCATAATATCTACCCACGGTTTTATTTAAAAGAAATGCTAAATGTTATCCATCAATTTGTTTTAAATTTAGGTTGATTTGGCCACAAAAGTAATTATTTAAGTTTTTTAAAATTTTTGTGCAAATCTCTATTTAAGTTCTATAAGATTTTTTGCTTTTACATTCATGGTTCTAGAAATTACATTTTTTATAATATTAAACCGCAGTTTTATTTGAATGCAACGCTAACTAACATCTATTTATTGATGTTAAATTTGAGCTGACTGAAGTACTAAAAGTATTTTTTATGATGGATTTTAAATGTCATTAAACAGAACTTTTTACAATAATTTCACAAATTAACCAACCAGGTAAACCCTAAATGTTGAAGGCTGGTGTTATATGGTTGATCGGCACCGACGGCTTGGGGCACAACGAGCTTGCGAGTTGTGTCTTTAGCCGTCGGACGATGCCGATCAACCAAATGACATCAGTCAATGCTTAAAATTTTGAAAAAATTAGAAAGTGCGGGGCGCAAAGCGACACTAACACCCTTGTTTAGTTTATTTAATATAATTTTTAAAAATAGTAAACTGGCAAGAAAAAAACTAATAAAAAACAAAATAATTTTATTTTGCGCAAACAACAAAAATAACACTTTAAAAACACAATTTTGTTTAAAACAGAAAAACTCAAGAAATAACTAAAAAAGTTTATATTTTAATGTTTTTTTGCTGACAAACTATCGTTATTTTTCAAAAACAATGTTTATAATGTGGCACATTTAGGCAAACTTTGCGGCCAGGCATTGCCATAATGTCTTTTTACTATAAACGGCCAACAGTTTTGTTGTTCCGTTTTTGAAAATAACCTAAATGTGTGTGTGTTCGACGACTCATCTTGATAACAAAGTTGATGGAAATCGGTATTACCGTCGTCTGGCCAAGGCCGGTGGTTAGATGTCTCCGCCAAAATGCCGTTAGTTTTTTTTCCGCCAACAATTGCTAAACTGCTAATGGTCGCAGTGCTTGTCTTTAGCTTCAACCACTACTCAACTGAGCTAAACAACGGAAACAGAGCAAAGCTAGCAAAAGCACTGTTCTAGTGCCTTAGTGTTCAGTTTAGAAAGATCGAGGGTACTGAAAACTAAAAAAGGAACAAAAAGACATTTGGCGTAACAGCAACAAGACAGACAATTTGATAGGGAAAATCGATTACAAGTGACGCTGAACTGGGAGCAGTAGGAGGGAGGCTACTGTGCCCTTTTTTCTTTGGCGACATACTATGGCAATCCCATGCAGTCAGTCAGTTAGCTGGTTAGATGTCAGCAATTGCCCAGTGACCAGTGACTGTGTGGTCAAGGAAGCTGAAGAGTATTATGCAATTGTGCAATTGAGGATGACACACAACTAGCCTGTCAGTAACGTCAAAAACGGCTTAATGGCAGCAAGAAAGAAAACCACACTATGATTTGTACTGCTGACTTTTAAAACAAAAAAACTCTCTGTCTAAAACCGTTTTTGTTTTTTAACTTTTAAATTTAAACATTGCAAAATGTTGGAGAAAAGTGAAATGGTAAAACAAAAGGCAAAAAAGTGGCATAAAAATAAAAAAGGAGAGAAAGAAAAGAAGATGATCATGTTGAAGTGCTCATTTGGGAGCAGCTCAGCGGAAGACAGCCAGAGAGAATGGTTATCCTCAACGGCTTAGTTGTCAATCGATTTTTTGTCAGTTGCTCTTTTTCTCTACTTCTTTTTTCTACTAGAATTTCTTTCTTTTCCAGCATTTTTTCTAACAACAACAAATTGAGCCAGATCATTACTTTTAGAGAGTTGCAAGTTAAGTGTTTAGATTGTGGCATCACGCTGGCACAAGCATGGTTTTACAGTGCAAAAAACAGTATCAAGTACTGAGTAAAAATAATAGTAGTGATGAGGGAAGTAGTGCAAAAATGAACTATTTTTTTGTTTGTTTTTTTGTGCAGGTCCCTTATCCTTAAACACAATTAAAATTTTTTTTGTTACGTTTATAATACTTACTTTAACAAAACAAAAACAAATGGCGTGTGCACAAATGGTAAATCTTAATCTTTGTTCAAGTAAAAGTGTAAAACAAAAATGTATAAAGACAATAACAACGCCAAAAGCAAAATTGTGCAAATTTTTGTTATCCAAAAAAAGCAAAAATGCAGTCTAACTTAGCCAAAAAAACTTTTTAAAAGCTTAGAAGTCTTATTTTTAAAAATGTCATAAAATGTCTTAAATACACTGACATGTAATATTATTTGCCTTAAAGTTTAATTTAAAACAATGGGATTTAATATGCACTGTTTTTCAGATAAAATTTTAAAAGTATTATGTTTAATCAAATTTCACTTTTGAATAATCTTGTGCAAAAAAAAGTTAAAACAACTTTTATTGCAATGTTTTATAGCGACGCATCCGGTACTTTATATTTTTACAACAATAAATTTAAGTAATTTAAAAATTTGAGTTTTGGCAATTTTATTACAAATCTTAAGATTGCAGCTAAAAATGTTTTTTTTGTATATTAAATTTAAAAATTGATATAAAAAGATAAACTTAAAAAGCATGATTTAAAAAATGCGTTTTATAAATAAATAACAACGCAGCGAAACACAAAATAGTTCAAACTAAAAACTGATTTGGTGTTAAAAGCTTTATATTTTTTGTTTAGTTTTAAGTTTTGCTAAACATACAATTTAAAATGCCAGCTCTACTGATTTATCAATTTCCTAGTAAAGTACAAATGACTACTGCAAAAAAATGAAAAAAAGTAAAACTGTCCACCTACCTCTGGTCGGACTGGATCCTCAATGCCGATGATGGCCAGACAGGTGAGTCGTGAGACGATGGCCTCCTCGTCCTCCCAATCCGGCTCGCCCTCCATTTGAATTTCATTTGCCTGGGCACTGGGCTTTCGTTTGACGTAGTCCTTGTAGGCAATGCAAATGGTACGCAGACCGTCGCTGGCCATCGGCTCGATGATGTTCTTGATCAACTTGTCCTGTTCATCCTTTGGAAAGCGCAGCAGAGTGCCGTCCTTGCCAAAGATGAACATGCACTTTTTCATCACAATTTCCGATGCGCCCTAAGAGCACGCACACAAGGGGTGTCAATTATCAATTAATCCAAAAAACAATAGTTGTGTTATTTGTCATTTGACTTACCTTGGTGAAGACCCGAAAGCCCTCTCCGTTGGGCAACGGAATGACCGTGCTCATTGACTTGCGCACCGAGTTGAAGGTGTACACCTTGTGCAGCTTGTCCTCGGGCATCTTGTCGCGCAGCACCTGGTAGTCCTTGCCTAGGTCGCGCACGAAACCAAGAAGGGCACATTCGGTTTTGTTGCCCACCTGCTTTGGGTTGTCGCCCGGGTTGTCAGGAGGCTGTTTGGGGGAGAGGAGAAAGAGTTTGGTGATAATTTAAAGAAAGTTTGGGATTAAATTGAGCAAAACTTCCCCTTCCCTACATACCATGATTCTCGTAGTGTAGGCGGAGTTGTAGCTGATGGCGTCAATAAGAATGTTGACCATGCTCNTGCCCACCTGCTTTGGGTTGTCGCCCGGGTTGTCAGGAGGCTGTTTGGGGGAGAGGAGAAAGAGTTTGGTGATAATTTAAAGAAAGTTTGGGNGCCCGGGTTGTCAGGAGGCTGTTTGGGGGAGAGGAGAGGGAGTTTGGTGATAGTTTTAAGAATGTTTGGAATTAAATTGAGCAAAACTTCCCCTTCCCTACATACCATGATTCTCGTAGTGTAGGCGGAGTTGTAGCTGATGGCGTCAATAAGAATGTTGACCATGCTCTTGGGCAGCGTCTTGTACTTGGGTATGCTCTTGTAGTGGACGCCGCAGACGTAGCCCTGCACGGCCGTCATTCGATTGGTCGTCAGGGTGCCGGTTTTGTCCGAGCAGATGGCCGTCGCATTGCCCATCGTCTCGCAGGCGTCCAGGTGACGCACCAGATTGTTGTCTAGCATCATTTTCTGGTTTAGGGATGGGAAGTTTTTTTTAATGAGAAAAGTGGTTAGGCGAGGGTCGACATTGAGGGAAAAGAGGTCAATCACAAAAAAATAATAAAAAAGCTTACTTTGACGGAGTAGGCGAGCGCCAGCGTGACCGCCAGTGGAAGACCTTCGGGAACGGCGACGACGAGCACGGTGACGCCGATAATGACAAACTTGACAAAGTACTGCATGTAGAACATGCCAAACTTGTGGTTCGAGAAGACGAACATCTTGAGCACAAAGCGAAGTATGAGAATCATCACTGTCAGCACTGCAATGGCTGAACCTGAATAGGCAGGCAGGCAGGTAGGCAAAAGTGAGCAAAAGGGAAGATGGTTAAGAATGAAGACTAAAAACCGCCATCCAAAAAGCCTCTGTTGTGCAGGCAGTTGACCCAACTTGTCACGTACCTCCATAACCGATTTGAATGGCCAATTTGGTCAGTTTCGCCTGGAGCACCGACTTCTCCTTCCTCGGATTGGCCGCGTCCTCCTCCTGTCGCGAGCGGCGGTGCTCACTGTCGCTCAGCACTGACTCATTCAGCAGACCGCCGCTGCCGGAGGGGCCGGCCGCCGCCCCCACCGTGGCCGCATGTGCGGAGGCACTGCCGCCAGCGACAGCACCACCGCCGTATCCGCCGCCGCCGCCGCCGCCGCTGCCTGAGGCACTAGCACCGGCGGAGGAGGAGGGGCCGGCGGTGGCAGCACCAGCGCCGCCAGCGGCACTGGCGCCAATGGCGTTCATGCTCATCATGTTCAGCGGGTGGGAGTTGCCGCCGGGGCCCATTGCCTCGCCTGCCTCCTCGTCTGCTTTTAGTTTTGATGATTGGAAAAGGTAAAAGAGAGTAGTAGTCAGTATTTAAATTGGTTGATGGCAGGAGAAAGCATTTGCAAAGCTTTTGCGAGCACAAGTCATAAAAAATGGTTTCAAAACGCCTACGCTTCTAGTCAACAAAAAAAGATAGCACCAAACAAAGGAAAGCAAACGGAAGCAAACAGTAAAAAAGCACACAAACCTGCAGAGACAATGCTCTTCTTTTTGCCCTTCTTTTTTGCTTCTGAAGAGGAGGAGGAGGAGGAGGTGGGCAAACGTTTGTGAATGGTTAGGTGGTGGTGGTTGATTGATTAAAACAAAAGGTAGTTTAGAGTTAGGAAGGGTTCGATTGGCAATTGGTAAGTGGAAGTGGTTTTGGTAGGTGGTGAGGTAGATTAGAAAAGTTGTGGTAGTAGTGGAAATGGAGATGGAAGTGGTGATGATCAGAAACAGGGGGTGGTGAAATTTGTGGATTAATTTTCCGGATTAGTTGAAAAATCGTTAAAAAGAGGAGAAAGATAAGGAGTAGGAGAAAGAAGAGGAGGAAGAGAAAAACGCACACAAAGGGAGAAAAGATAAAAAGGGTTGTCAAAAGTTAGTAAACTGGAAGAAGAAAACACACACACGCGCGCGCACACACACACGCAAACACCACTACAGTTAAAGACTCTATCAATCCACACAGAAAGGTCCTTTTGCAGTCTATCCTTCTGTCAGCAGTACTTACCCTTTTTGGACTTCTTCTTCTGCTCCTCGTCCTCGTCGGCGGCGGCGCCGAGCAGCGCAAAGATGATGCCCGCCTGTGAGTTGATGCCCACGGCGGAGACGACCATCCGCCCGCTGCCCTCCATGACGTGCGTCCCCGAGAAGAGCATCGGATCGTACTGTTCGCCCTTCTTCACGTGGTCCGACTCGCCGGTGAGCGAGCTCTCGTCCACCTTGAGGTCATTCGACTGGATGATGATGCCGTCGGCGGGCAGCAGGTCGCCGTACTTCACCTGGCAGATGTCGCCCACCACCAGGTCGGACACCAGCAGCTGGATCACCTCGCCGTTGCGGATCACCGAGAACTTGTGCTCGTGTTCGATGCGCGCCTGCAGCCCGCGGAACTGCCGCTCCTTGGTGTAGTCGTTGAAGGCGGTCACGAGGACGACGATGATCACCGACACCAGAATGGCCACGCCCTCGATCCAGCTTGCCTCGGCCTCTTCGTGCATTGACGGTCCTGGAGGAAAAAATAAGAGAGAGGGGGGGGGA